CTTTAAAAGGATTTCTTTTATTTAAAAAAATAAATTTAATAAAAAAAAAAAACAGCAAAGCATGTCCAATAAAAAAAAAATGTCAAAAGCCAATATGAAAGTGTTTTCAAAGGAAAGAGATAAAATAAATACAAGCTTTAATTCTGCATTCAATGTGTTTCCTTTTTATTTTAGAAATGGAATCTACCCACTAACAGCATTTGCTTTACCACACCCACCACCCTCACGTCCACGGGCCATCACCCCTGAACTGGCTGAATCGGTCAAGTCAGAAACACCCGAGCCAATTGATGTGGAAACACGGATGGTGACAAATATGGCATGCCAAATGAAGAAGACAGATGAAAATTCCAACCTCAACCTAACCCTGCTGCTGCGTATGGATGACAAGATGAATCGACAATTGCAGTGTGAGATTTCTTTAGATGACAATGCCTCCACTTTGGCGGAGGAGCTTGTGCACTATGGCTTCATCAATGAGGTGAGTGACTTAAGTAAGGCTTAGGGCTAAAGACATCGCTATCTTCCTGGCTGATCTTATTAAACTGAACACTTTATTTAATCTACGAGGTAAACTGTTCTCATTCCACTTCCTAGGGATATCTTGTCTAGTTATTTTTAGTACTGCTCTGTTTCCTAGCTAGCCCTGTGCCCAGCCCAAGGATTGAACTCACAATTACTATGTCACCAAATTAATAAACCAACGCTTTAATCCACTAGACCATTGTCCCTTTGCACAAAGGTGAGGACAATAGTCTGCATGTAAATAGTATAAATAATGATAAGTCAGAAATTCGGACAAATTTCATTTTCTGCCGAGTTTATTTTACTGAATGTGAGCTTGCATTCTCTCTCTCACTCAAACACACACACTTCTACTTATGAACAGGATAGGTTACTGGGATTTGAAATTATCTAATAATAATCATTAATGTACTTACTTTATTCCTGACACTGCTTTGCTTGCTGGTACAGATGTTGCTTTAGAAAAATTCAAACATAAATTATATTTGCTCGCACAAAAGTTTTTTTTTGGGGGGGGGGGTATACATATATGGAAAAATGTAATTAATATTTATACATTACTTCACTGGTATCTTCTCCCACCAATAAAAATCACACATCACAGTAGACATGCTGTTAAACAAAATCTAACTAAACCAAAGCAAACCCACCAATAAAAACTTGTTCGTGTATTTGTTTCTAACATGTTCCTATGCATTACTACTCCTTTATTCCTTTTCAGGTTTTGCCACTTAGTCTGAACAATTTACATTTCTAATCTTTACCAAATAGGTAAGAAAGGTGGAAGAACATTACATCATAGTACTTTAGAGATTTAAAAATTTAACAATTTTATCAGACACCTTCATGTTGTCACTTTTGTGATGTCAACAAATGCTCATTATCACGTACGTAATGCTCGTTGTAGTCGAGACTTTGGAATCGCAGATACTAGTAGTAACTCCTTTGAATAATACTTGTTTGAATAGTAACCTGTAGAGTGATTAGTATAGAGAAGCACAATTACTCTAATTCCCATATATACTTTTCCTTTATGATCACCTGGTCTACTTATTAGAAATGGAATCACCTGTGTTTGCTCACAAGTGATCTGTGTTCAATCTCCAGTGTTGGCAACAAGACTTTATCCTTATACAACATCTCCCCTTTGAGATGACTTCCCCTAGAGTCTATACTTCTTCAACTTTGGTTCAATCGTTAGAAAGTCTGTTGGCATTTTTTTCCTTTTGCCATAAACCCTTGGTTGAACAATTTCTGGTGGCATGGGTATGTTAAACGTGTCGTACAGAATTTTTAAGTCAGTCAATCAATGTTTAACTGATTCAGGTGCTCTTATGTTCCTTTGTTCCTGAACCATATATGTCATTCTGCCAATCCGTTTTTTAATAACGCCCTCTTCCCGGAATTCCTTTCCGCACTGATACGTCTTGAAAAATATTTCATCACCCAGGGTTGAAATATTTATTTGTGCCATAATTTGTTGTTGCATTCAGGTAATAACTTATTGAAGACGGACTTGATCTTCCTGGCGAACATCAACTCTCCAAGCAACATTCCAGACACGGTGTTCGGGTTTGACATAATTCAGTAAACACTTAGAAATTACTGAATCATTATCTCATCTGTTTCCTCTCCCTCCAATTTCCTTAGTGCCCTTTTAAGCATGTCAACAAAGCGTTCCGCTTGTCTGTTTGATCTTGATTGATACCAGGGAAGTTGTGATATGTTCAATTGCTAATGATTTGCAAAAGAACTTAAATTCACTAGATGTGAATTGTGTCCCATTTTCTAAAACGATAGAGTTGGGAATACTGAACCTTGCAAAAATCTTGTGTAGGAAATTTATAGTTACTGTGGTAGTTGGTCTCTTACATTTTAGGATTTAGTATAACTATCAACTACTACTAAATAGTAAGCTTTGTTTATCGGTCCTGCAAAGTCGATATGTTTTCTAGATCATGGCATATCGGTTGTCAACCAAGGTTGAACTTTGGTAGGCAGTGACTTCACTGACAGAGCACAACCTCTGCATAATTTCACCAAATTTTCTATATCCATATCCATTTTTGGCCAGTCGGTATAACACCTCATTAAAGATTTCATCCTAGAAATTCTTGGATGTCCTCTGAAATTCTTTAAACATACATCTTTGTAACAATATCACCACTCTTTCTGTGTTGATCAGTATACCATTACATAATGAAAACACATTATTTTCCATAGTATTTTCCCCTTTAGACTTTAATTTCTCTTTCATTTTCATTATGAAGTGATTTTTTTTCCACCTTAATTTTTTATTTCCTCCAATGTTATGGGACGTTCTTGTACGGTATTATATAATATGTTATTTATTTCATTTTCAGCCCTTATCGCTGCAATTACTGTGACTTCAAGTGGTTCACAGAATCTTGGTATCATCTTGACAATCCATCTGCATGACTTAATTTTTTGGATGGTAGAAATTCCATTTTATAATTATAATTTAATAGGATAGTTCCCCAGCACTGCAGTCTATTTGCTGTATGTGTGGAAACACCCTTTTTTGATCCATATATTGACAATAATGGACGGTGGTTTGTCTGCAGTATAAATTCTTCACCTTGTAGGAATTTGTGAAACTTTTTCATGGCAAAAATGATGGCCAATGCTTCCTTTTCTATTTGGCTGTAGCTTCTTTCAGCCACAATTAATGAACTTGAAGCATGAACTATAGGTTTAGTTGTTCTGTCTTCATACTTGTGTAATATCACTGCTCCAATACCTGAATAACTTGCATCTGATGCAACCACAATCTTTAATTTAGGGTCAAAATGAGCTAAAGACAAATTCGATGTTAAGACTTTCTTTGATCTGTTCGAACTCACTTTGACATTTATCTGACCAATTCCATTTTGTCTTTCTTCAGCAGGTTACTCAATGGTGCTCTTAATTCATGCATATTAGGAATATATATATGATAGTAGTTAGCAAAACCTAAGAATGCTTGTAACTTTGCTACATTTGTTAGAGCAGGCATATCCTTTATTGCACTTGCCCTTGAAGGATCCAATCATCTACTGTTTTTCATCAATGATTTGCCATATATATTTAAGTCTGGACATAAATGACTCACATTTTCTTTCACTAATTTTAAAGCCATATTCCTTAATTCTCTTAAATACTTTCTTTAGATCTTCTGCCTGTTGTTTTCAGGTTTTGCTTTTAATAAGTACATCATCCAAATATGCTTGAGCACAATCCAACCCAGCAAGCATGGTGTCCATTATCTGTTGATATATGCTTGGTGCTACCTTTATACTGAAAGGAAGTCGGTTGAATTTATATAACCCTGTATGAGTGTTAATTGTTAATAATTTTGAACAGTCTTTGTTCACTAGTACTTGTAGGTACTGATAGATCCAATTTAGAGAAAAAATTACCTCCATTCAATTTGGCAAAAATTTCCTCTGGACTTGGTAATCGGTGGTTATGTTGTTTTAGACTTTCATTTAGCCCCGTTGAAAATCAGCACGCACACGGATTTTATTATTCTTTTTTTTTTTTTTTTTTTTTACGTAGACTGTTGCCCATTCGGAATGGTCTATTTTTGATATTACCCCTAATTTTTTTAGTTTGTCCAATTCATTGTTAATTGGAAAAAGTACACTCCTTTTTGGCTTAAATGTTGGTGTTACATTGTCTTTTAACTGAAACTTCACTTTTGCTTTTCTGCATGTCCCTAGACCTTCAGAGAAAACTTCAGGAAAACTCTTTTTCAGTTGCCATATTAGAACTGGTCATAACAATATTTATCTTGCTGCAAAAAGAGATAATTGGGAGGTCCCAAAGATCAAACAATGCAATCCAATCTGTTCCAAACAAATTAGCAATATTTTTTAATACAAATACCACTGCTTTTTTGGTCTTTCTGACAAAAGAAACGTTTCAGCTGAATTCACCCCAAAAATTTAATCTCTCTCCTGAGACTCCATACGCAACTTTATTAGAAGTTAATAAACTGGATTTACACATTTTTCTGCATGTTTGTTCATTTCTAATAGTGATATCCAATCCTGTATCTAGTTGCAATTTTATTTTGACATCATTAATTTGCACAAAAACAAATTTCCTCTTTTGAGATGTGTTGTTAATTTCCTTTTTAGGCTTCTTATCGTTACTACACATATTTATCCTATTCACATGCGTTTTATTTTTCTCTCTATTTTTTGGATCTGCAACACATAATTTTGTGTCCTAATTTCCCACACTCATAGCATATTTTGTTTTTGAAGAAATGATCCTTTTTAAAATGCTTACCTCCAACCGCCTTGGCAAGTATTAAGTATTGAGAGGGGTTTAGTCTTCCTTTAATGTTCTGTTAGTAGTTGAAAAACATTTGTAGTTTTTCCCCTTAGATGGTTGGATACTGTGTACCTGTGAATCCTTGTAGTATTGAGTTTCAAATTCACAATATGTTGACACTCTTCCGCTATGCTCTGGAGAGTTAATTTTGGATCCCTTTCTAATTCAGCAAGTATCCTGGATCTTATCTCTGTGTCCTTATTAGAAGTTAAACCCTGAATGAATATCGGACATTTAAACAAATCAGGAGTTAGTACATTTAATTTGAACTTTTCGCATTCTCGATTCACGACTCCTGCATACGTGACAAAATCGTCATTGTCAGACTTTAGCAAGTTAAGACATTGCTATCATGTATTAAACAATGAACTCCTCTCACCAAAGAGTTTTGATAGTATTAGGATGATCTCATCAAAACTTATCTCTCCTGGTTTTTTTCGGCAAGATATAATTTACATATTTTTCATGTTCAACAGAGGATAATTTCCTTAATAATAACCAAACTTTCTTTTCATCATTCCAATGTGAACAATCCCTTTTGAAGATTCCTTCGTATTTTCTGTAATAAGATGAAAAAGTTACCCCTTCATCTGGATTGTATACGAATTCACTGATTGAATTAACGACAGCATCTGGGGTGAAAGAATCTGAAATTTTTTCTTCCATCATTTAATGAACAACTCAAAAAACTTAATATTTCAAAAATTTCGTTTTGGTTTGATTTTTCATTCAAGCATATTTTATATATATCTTCATTGATTTTTATGTATTATAAAGACATGAGTTAGATTCATGAATAGTGGATCTGTAAAAAAAAAATGGTGAAGTAATGTAGTTTTTTAAACATGTGTCAATAGTTGGTAGTATTGCTATAAATATGTTTTCATAATATTTCCTTTTTAAAGGGTTATGTTCTTTTTTAATAAGGCTGGCATTGATGAAATTAAAGTTATGTCCCATGTTGTTGCAGTGTAAGATGAGAGAGTTTGAATGTCTATCTAATTACAAGTCTCTTTTGTGTTCCTGGATGTGGGTTTTTAGATCACGTAATGTCTCCTCAATGTAAATGTTATTGCACTGTAGACATTGATAAACTCTAGCATTTGAAATTGTTTTTGTTTTATTTTTCATCCGGACTATATCTCCAATAGTCTTAAAGCTCATGGTAACAATCCTCGCGTCAGGGATGGCTAATTAGTTTTATATATATATATATATATATATATATATATTTTTTTAATTGATTCACCCCAGGCAAGGTGATAATGCCACTAAGATGCAAGGGGTTACTGGGAGTCAAAGAGAATGAAAAGACTTTAGCATTTTTGGAGAAGGGATAAAATGCGTCTGTGTCTTGCATTTATTTGAAACATATATATATTCAAAAAATGTAACATATTTATTTGTCAAGAATATAATCTACTATTAGCAATAACAAAAAGCCTATCAAGAAATAATTTTATTCTTTGCGAAAAGAGATATTCTGGCTAGGGAATTATGTTCCCAATTACTAGCTATTACAAAACAGCAGATTTTTATTATCAGCAACCTAAATAAATGAACCAGTAAGATTAATATCTATCACCTGCTTTGCTCAAAACAATGGAGTGTCATTTTGAAGAATGACAGTGCAAATTTAGATTCACTTAGAATAAACTCAAAATAGCATTAAATCATTAAGTTGGCATATTTTACATCATTCTTCTAACTCAACTGGTTTTGCAACTTAAGCTCTCCATTTAATCAGCTCACTGGCTCAAAACCTTTTAAGAGCAAAGAACAGATAATGGAAATAATAGAAGAACACTTTTTTCTAGCATTCAGGATCCCAATTTGGTTTTTGTCATTGCTAATAATGAGGATTCTGTTCTTGACAAAATCATGTTACATTTCAATAGGTTTTTATACTCTCTACAAAAATACAGCATCACTTTCCAAACTGTCTAATATCTACTCCAAGATTAAACATATATATCATAGATTTTGTGTCTAACTTCTCTGTAGGATATGTGCAACTTATAAAATACTACTTTGGGGGGGGGGGCACCTCGGCGTGGTGTAATGTTTACCAAGCTTGTCTCGTTAGTTCAGTTACAACTGAAAATTGAGTTCAATCCTCACTAGATGCCCCATGCTTTCGGCCTTTTGCCACATCTAAACTATGCTTGGAAAATAACTATAAAATACTACTTTTGTTCTAGAATAGTTTTTACATTTGTATACACATTTGATTCAGTACACGTAGTAGCTATTATAGATCAGAGGTAGCAATTTTCTTTCTTCCTATGAGAGAGGGAACAACAAACCTTTACAAAAGAAATAGTACATTTTAATCGTTTCTTTTCTATGTTAACCCTGTAGCCTCCTCTGTGGAGTCCAAAGCCACAGACTCACCATGCTAGGTGTTGCTGCTGTGGTTTAAGTCGCAAGTGAGGTTTTTTGTTGTTTTTTTTTTGTTTTTTGCATGGGGTTGGAGTAATCATTTCTTTTAACAAATTCAAATTTTTGTCTTTTTGTTTTGTTTTGCAGTTAGACAAAGACAAAGTTGCATCATTGATTGACCAAAATTTGCGGCCAAATAACCCAAATGTAACAAATGGACCAATGTCACCAGTGACCGTCACATCAGGCTGATGCTCACAACTGCCATGCTCTTCTCACCATCATCTTTGGAATTCAGTGCCACAGCCTCCTCCTACTCCACCTCCACCTCCTCCTCCTCCAACTCTTTAAAGGGGTCCTTCAACTGCCTCCCTCACCTAATACTACCACCATCACTGTATGCAATTATCAGTCATTCTCAGAGGTCCTGTTTAGCTAATATAATCACCTTTAGGGCCAACAAATTTTGTAATTATTTGGAAGCCATCAGAAAATGCAATCTTAAAAAAAGAAAAAATGTATTCTGATTGATTGAAGGTGATTCTTTTCTTTCTCTTACTTTTTTTTTTTTTTTAATCTGATTTCTGGAAACTCTGGCTGGCTAACTTGGATACAAGAAAGAAAATGTGAGATAATAATTTAGAAAGAAAAAAAAAAGAAAGAGGCCACTGGACAAGATAAAGAAAGAGAAGAAAAAAATGATTATTTTATTTCTTGTTAACATTTTTTTAAAGATTTTCTGATCTGAAAAAATTATTATCAAAAAGAAAAAAAAAAAAGAAACATTATCTTTAAAATATTCAGTTATACATTTTTTTTTTTTTTTTCTGTTAAACATTTAATCTGGGTATTTACTCTTTGTATATTTTCCCTTGGTGAACTGACATTTTGGATGCATTAATGGAGTAAACAAATGAGTTATATTTGGACATAGATACAAATAGCAACCACATGGTGTTTTACCCTCCCCCCAAAAAAAACATAGGCATAACATCAGTATTAAAATTTCACTTCTTGGTAAAAAGTGTAATAAAGAGAATGTGATATCAATATTGTATATACAACAGAAATGAAATGTAACTTTGAAAAATAACAATACTATCATATGTAACTAATGCCTATGATCACATCCAAAAGAATATATAACATGGCACTTTAACAGTGGCATGCTATAATGAAATGACAGTTTTTTTGTTTTTTGTTTTTTTCTCACATAAAGATGGGAATTGTAAAGTAGATATAACCTCACAATGGTATCTAATTAAAGTGCTATTCTCACACCCAGATGCAATGAGTGATAAAAAAGTACATACTTGCATCTGTGTGAATATACACACATGCACACACACACACACACATATATATATATATATATATATAAGTAATATGGAGGTTGTGACATCAGTATACTGTGTTTCACCTCCAGTTACAAGGTGTAACATGGAGAGAAACAAAAAAAAAAGATAATTCCATATTATATGCAAATCTTAGAGAAAAAAAGACTGAAAAGAAGTAAATCTGAAATTGGACACATTTCTTAATATTTTATTTTTTAACAAACCTGTTTGTCATTCTTTATCTCTATTTGGTTTCTGTTCTTTTTTTTTTTCTCTTTCTGTCTCTTCATCATAACCAGTGAATACTATTTGCTCTTGCCATAAGGCCATTGGGACACTGGAGCAGCCAGGAGGAAGTGTGGCCATCTGAAAGTCTTGAACAAAATTCTGCAACACTTGGCACCATTTTATCCTTTGAAGAGCAACAATGTTCTTCTTTCTTTCTTTATTTCTTTCTTTATGGGAAAAGAACTTGAATAAATTAGGTGCAATAAATATCACTTTAGTTGATTTTCTTTTTACAAAAACAGTGCTTCAGTGTTGTTTGCTTAAAAATGCATTTAACAGATATTCTGTATACTTACCACTTTCTGTACAAATAACAAAGAATTGCATTCTTCATCCCCTCCTTGCACTAAATCCAAATTTTAGATTTGATGAAAATGGGGATGATACTTAAAACTAGTCAAACTGAATCCTAATTTAGTATTTACTATGTGTGTTTCTAACAGTATATTTTTCTTCTCAAACATGCCAATCACAAAAGTTGAAATTATAATTACGGGCATGAAATTGGCAAAAGCTAAAAATATACAATTTTTAATGGATTAAAATGTAATGACTTAAGTTATGTCATATACAGAAAAATGGAGTAGAGACATATTACAAAAAAAAAAAACAAAGTAAAAACCATCACTTCTGGGTTATATAACGCTCGTTATGGGGGTTGTTTAAAATTATAAGTTAAAAAATATATGTTTATTCAGTACAAATCCATTATTTTAAAATTTAAATATAAATTACTTGATTCATTTTACAAATTTATTCACAAAATTTATTTCTGTAAGTTTATTCATAAACTTGCATCATTCTTAACTGATTGTCTTCTTCATTTATCTAGATGATAATTACAAACTTCTGAAAGTGAAAATTTCACTGAAATATATGAAAAAATTTCCAGGTTTTATCAAGAAATTGTGAATAATGGTCAAAATGTGACAATGTGTTCTGCATGTCGCTCACTGCACAAATGTGGTGACATCCAAGGTTGGTTGTATGCATATATACACTCGGCTAGGTATGTTCACAGGTTTGTCTCCTTGGCTGTGGTCGAATTCAACAAAGAATATGCTTTTCAAGATACTGGTTAGGAAATGGCAACAATACAATTTCTCACTAAACTGCCAATGTTTTCCTTCTGCTTCTACAAGCTGGACTGTTATCTTAGTAACTTCCGGCCATGGAAAGGGGACCCTTACATTCACTGACATCTAAGCAACTGCTGATTCCTCCCTCCCCGCTGGTCCCTTTTTTACTCACTGACTACTCATTATGTGGACAGCAGCTGGGGTCCTACCACTCCTATTTGCCCACATGTGTTCTGGAAAATGAGACCACCCAAAAGCTGCATGGGTGGTCAAATTTTCAAAGGACTCTACTTTTATGATTATCTAAAATCGCTAACAAAATTTTATGTTTGCCAATTCAAAGGTGGGCTGAAGACAGGAATCCTGAAAACTCTGGTAATAAATTGACTTAAAAGGAAAAAGAATCTATTTATCTCCTAAGGATGTGTGAGAATTCGTATTGTTACACAATATATAGGGGGAAAAGTGCCAATTTAAACTGATGTCATGAAAACTAAACAAAGCAAATGGGGACAAGCAACGCTTTTTGTCCCAGCCTTAACCCTTTTGGCATTTACAGCCGCCCATATATGCTTTGCCATGATGTATGACAATATCATCATAAATAATGCAGGAAGTCACAATCAGTGAGACTTTGAGAGCCAATATTTACAGAGCAGGTTTGTGTTGAATGCTAATGGGTTAATCAAGTCAGAAATCCATATTTGGGTCTTAAAACAATTGGCTGAAGAAGACAAGTTGCAGTGCATAGGAATTTCTTTTCAGCTTTTGAAGATGATACAACTTTGTGGAGAGCATGATGAGGCCTGACAAAGGCTGATTCTATTGTCACCAACTTCCTTCACTCCAAATCAAAGTTCAGCATCTTTGAGTGGAGTTACTGACAAGTCACTTTGATTATGCTAATCTTCTAGATGAGAATAGCCAAGAAATAAATTGTTTTTCTTACTGATGAAAAGATGACAGCCTGTTCACTGATATGAAAATGTACTAAGATCAAGATGGCGGTCAAATCCATGTTAACAGTAGAAACTATATCATTAGTTAAAGGGCGTGAAATACCATTGCTCATGGCTAAAATAATTGCCAAAATATTCTACAATAACAGGAATGAACCTTATCTGTCTGCTGTAAAGTAGAGAAAAGTTTGTGTGAAACAGCAAAGACAATAAAAAGAATTTGTAACTTCAGATTATGAATGGAAATGTCAAAAAATGATTGAAAAAAAAAAGGAGTAACACTCATGGGTACAGGGTAGTGAACAGTTGACACACTCACAAATGACTCCTTGAATATAAATCTTTTGAATGTTTCATAATAAAGATATAGCAAGAATTAAAGACTGTTGAGTTCAGTTATTCAATTTGATCTATAATTAACAAAGTGGGGGATTGTTTAAAGTGAGTGAGTTACTCCCTGTGCTATGAAAATGCTATGAGATTACTATGAGGGGGACAAGAAAAAAAATGGTATTGGAGACATAGACGAAGAAAGATGTTGCAAGATTAATTAACACTGCAGTCAGCAAAGAAATTGAAGGAATGCTAGCATTATGTTTATAGACTTCTTACTTCATGGTCAGTTACTGTAGTCAGGTACTCTGTAAAACAGGACAGACTGATAACAGCTGTTCGGAAAAAGAGACTAATATATTTGCATAAGATTATCATCCCATTCAGGGTTGTATCTGAAAAAATCATTATTTCCCAAAAATTGCTCACAAAAAAAAAATTATTTGTAGGTCGTTTAAAGCTGAAACATCAAGCTTGATCACTACTTGGATGGGAATACAAAAAGCCCTGCATTTGAATGTGCGGCTGGTGTTATGGATAATGGCATGAAATAAAAAATTGGAGAGCAGACATCAAATTCCAGTTGGGTTCATAACATTCACTTATATGCAAATACCCTTAGGAATTCACCTCTTCTCCATCTATGGGTTAAATAGTAGGACTTGTATCTGAAAATCATCAACAGTCAATCAATACCATGCATGACCAACCTTATCAAAAGTGTGGTTTCAGTGCCATACTTAGGAAGCTTAACCACATCCATTGCATATTCCTTACTTGGTTTCTTAAGGTTATTCAGTCGGGTTCATTACATTCAGTTATGCACAAAATACCTCGTGGAAAGGTATGACTCCATCTATGGGTTAATTAGTAGGACAAACTATGTGGAAAAAAATCTTTGTTATTCTAAAATAAAATAAAAAATTGTTGATGCAATCTTCACTCGCAAAAATACAATTATTCTTACAATCCAAAATATGTTTCCTTTTAAAATAACCCACAAAAGGTTGATAAGCCATCAAAAAAACAATCACTCAATCCTTCGGGTTATCATTTGAGCCTCTCAAACAACATTTATCTGGGAAGCAGTTTCACACACTGTTGGTACAAGGACAGCATTTTTGAAGGGATGTATTTATGCACTTCTGCATCAATCTTGATATCGAATTATGATACAGAAAATCAATAATTTTACAAAAAGTCATAACCCTTATATATATATACATACACACACACACACCGTATTTTTGGTATAT